TGATGTTGACTATAGTGCTGATGGATCTGTGTGCTCGCATGTTCGTAGTCTAGGATGTTTGCCTCCTGTTAGTTTAGGCATGTGCCTCTCTAGTCTAGGTACTTGTGTTTCTGCTCTAGGTGCTTGTGTAGCCTCCGGACCTGACACGCCTCCGACTGAGGCGTCTCTTTCGTTCACGCTGGACTCTGGCGCGTCGCAGTGTTTCTTCCGCGACTACACGACCCTCACACCACTCCTTGCTCCGGTTGCGGTAGCTCTGGCTGATCCTTCTTCAGGACCAGCCGTTACGCGCAGCTCCACCACCCTCCCGTGCCTGGTGGTCCCCTCTAGTGTCCTGCGCGGCCTCCACATCCCCTCGTTCACTCGGAACTTGGTGGGTGTTGGATACCTCCAAGACAGGGGGATCACCATTACCTTTGTGGGGGGTGGGAGGACGGCGGTGTGTACAGACGCCGATACAGGTGCTGTTCTGGCCACGTTCACCAGGGAGTCCCACTCTGGTCTCTAGGTTCTCCACACCGAGCGCTCCCCGGTTGCTTCCTCCGCTCAGTTCGCTGCGTCCCCTCAGGTCCCAGTGTCTAGTCCGGTTGCTGTGTCTGGTCATGTAGAGGAGTCTGGTCAGGTTGCTGCCTCTTGCTCCTGTCAGCCCCTAGCCCACCCGACCGTCTTGTGGCACCACCGCCTTGGCCACCCGTCGCTCCCCCGCCTCCGCAGCATGGCCAGTCACAGTCTTGTCTCAGGTCTCCCGTGCATCTTTCCGTCGCTCCCTCCCTCGCTTGCCCCACCCTGCACTCCTTGCATCGCCGGCCGCCTGCGCGCCACTCCGCACTCCTCCTCCCTTCGTCCGGCCACTGCTCCCTTCCAGACTCTCCATCTGGACGTCTGGGGCCCTGCCCCTACGCTGGGACCTGAGAGGGAGCGCTACTTTCTAGTGGTCGTTGACGACTACTCCAGGTACACCACGGTGTTTCCTCTCGCGAAGAAGTCCGAGGTGACTTCTACGCTGATCCGGTGGCTTCTGGTCACTGAGGGCACTCGTGGTAGTCGTGTCCGTTGTCTCCACTCCGACCGTGGGGGTGAGTTTCGCTCTGCAGGGCATCAGACAGTCCTGGACGCTGCCGGAGTCCCCACAACAGAATGGGGTTGCTGAGTGCCGCATTGGCTTGGTCATGGGCATCGCCCGCACGTCCATGATCCATGCCCGTGCGCCCCATTTTCTGTGGCCCTACGCGCTACGCTAAGCCGCGCACCAGCTGAACCTCGAGCCGCGTGTCTCGCGGCCAGAGGTTTCACCGACCAGTCTTTGGACTGGGTCCCCTGGTGTTGGGTCGGCCGTTCACGTCTGGGGCTGCCTTGCGCTTGTCCGCGACACCTCTGCGGACAAGCTCTCGGCTCGCGCCATCCCTTGTCTTCCTTGGTTTCCCGGTGTGCTCTCCCAACTACTCCTTTTACCACCCGCCCCTCCACCAGTTCCTCGACTCTCGTGACGTCCGGTTTGACGAGTCAGTGTCCTACTACACTCGGTACACCTGTCGAGGTCTCTCGGTTCCCCCTCCCCCCCTCTTCCTCGCTCCCTCTCTTCCCCCTACTCCCCGCTCCTCCGGTACCCCCAACCCCCCCTGGTCCTGCCCCATCAGGTGTGTCTCACGCTACCCCTCTACCCTCGGTCGCATGTCAGGTAGCGTCTTCCTCCCCGCAGTCCTCCTCACCGTCCATTCAGCAGCCTTCGGCACTTCCGCGACAGGTTACTATGGACTCGGTTGGTGTTGGAGCTGGGGGTGCAGCCGCTGACGGTACTCGGTCTGGGGGTGCTCGTTCGAGGGGTGCTAGAACTGGAGGTGCTGGCGCTGGTGGCGCTAGCTCTGGGGGTGCTGGAGCTGGAGGTTATGGCACTGGAGGTGCTAGTTCTAGGGGTACTGGTGCTGGAGGTGCTGGCACTGGAGGTGCTAGTTCTGGGGGTGCTGGTGCTGGAGGTACTGGTACTGGAGGTGCTAGTTTTGGGGGTACTGGAGTTGGGGGTGCTGGTACTGAGGAGAGGGGAGCTGGAGGCTCGCCTACTGCGTCGCCCACTGCGCGTCCCCACCGCCACGACACCCGCTTCCAGGCCCTTCACCGGCTTGAGCGCAGGAGCAGGAGCGGGTGGAGCAGGAGAGGCAGGAGCTGCAGCAGTTGGACCAACAGCAGCAGCAGCAGCAGCAGCAGCAGCAGCAGCAGCAGCAGCAGCAGCAGCAGCAGCAGTAGCAGCAGCAAAAGTAGGAGCAGCAGCAGACGCCGCAGCTGCCACCTTTGCAGCAACTGTTCCCTCCAGTGAGTGGCCTTCGGGCCCTTGGTCTTCCTTCCTCTCCTCCTGTCCACTCCCAATCACCTACTGCGTACGGTCCTAAGTTTCCTCCTCCGGACTCGACTCCGGCTGTTTTCTCTCCTCCTCATTTACGGTCGTCTCCTCCTGTTGTCCCACACGACTGGACCAGTCGTTGTCCTCCGCGTGCTTGGCCCTCGTCTCCTCTTGCCGACCTCCGCACTGTCTTGTTTCGTTCTCCTCCTCGTCGTTCTCTGCCTGTGTCTGTTCTCCCCTCACCTCCTCTGTCATCTCTCACCGTTTCCTCTCACCCTATCACTGACTACTACCGTGCTGCTCGCCCTGTTGTCTCCCGTGTTCTCGCCTCTCTTGTCACCGACCCTCGTGCCCCTCCGTCGTCTGTCTCGGCTCTTACTACCGGTGTCGCTGACTTTGCTTCCACCCGCCGTCTTGACTACGCCACGCGTGTGGTGGCTGCTCCACCTCCCTGTCCTTTGTCCGTCGGGGGTGAGTCTGCCCTTGGCTGTGACGTCCTAGAGGACAGGCAGTTTGAGCTGCAGTTCTTAGCAGCCGCTTCCCCCTCTCTCTGCTCCATGCTGCTTTCCCTTGAGGGAGACCCCGACGCCCTTGACATACCGACACCTCGCACGTACCGTGAGGCAGTGTCAGGGAAGTGGGCCTCTTAGTGGAAAGCGGCTATGGATGCAGAGTTAGCGTCTTGGAGATCCACAGGCACGTATGACGATGCAGTTCCCCCTCCCAGGGCGAACGTCGTCGATGGCATGTGGCTCTTCAAGGTGAAGCGGCCGCCTGGTTCACCGCCTATGTTCAAGGCGCGCTATGTGGCTAGTGGTTTCAGTCAGCGTGAGGGAGTTGACTTCTTCCAGACCTTCGCCCCGACCCCGAAGATGACTACTCTTCGGGTGTTACAGCACGTAGCAGCACAGCGAGACTACGAGCTGCACTCCCTTGACTTCTCCACTGCGTTTCTCCAGGGCCGTCTACACGAGGAGATCTGGTTGCGACGTCCTCCTGGCTTCACTGACACCTTCCCACCTGGGACCCAGTGGAGCCTGAGGCGGCCAGTCTACGGTCTCCGCCAGTCGCCCCGTGAGTGGCACGACACTCTTCGCTCCACGCTTCGTGACCTTGGGTTTCGTTCTTCCTCTGCCGACCCGTCGCTGATTGTTCGCACTGGTTCCACTCCTTTCTTTATAGTAGTGTACGTCGACGACTTGGTCTTTGCTACAGCAAACAGGGCAGCTCTTGTTAGAGTAGGGTGGTAGGGATGATTCAACTATCGAGAAGGTTTGGTACAAAAGTGAAACCTAAGGGGTTGTACCCCACAGTGAGTACCCCACTAAAGCCTACCTAAACTATAACATATAAACATATGTTTGACAGCTCTGACTGAGGTGAAATCCAAACTGCAGAAGAGACACAAGTGCACTGACCTCGGTGAACTGCAGCGCTACCTTGGCCTGCAGATCACCAGGGACAGAGCCGCTCGCACCATCACACTGACTCAGTCACACATGGTGCAGCAGGTCCTTCGGCGGTTCGGGTTTCAGTTCTCCACCACACAGCCCACTCCTCTTGCCGTTGACCACCGACTCACTGGCCCTTTTCCCGACGAGCCCTTTGAGTCTAGTGCCCCCTACGCAGAGCTTGTGGGCTGCCTCATGTACCTGATGACTTGTACTCGGCCGGACCTCGCATTTCCCCTCAGCGTCCTCTCTCGCTTTGTTGCGAATGGGAGACACCGTCCAGTTCACTGGACAGCGGCTGTGAGGGTGGCGAAGTACCTGGCGACTACATCAGGCATGGGGCTTGTGCTTGGAGGGACACAGCCAGTTGTGTTGACCGGTCACTGCGACTCTTCCTACGCTGACGACGTGGAGACTCAGCGCTCGACTCAGGGTTACTGCTTGAGTCTGGGTGCTGGTGCTGTATCATGGAGGTCTACCCGGTCGTCGTCTGTGGCTTCGTCCAGTGCAGAGGCAGAGATCTACGCTGGTGCCATGGCGGCACAGGAGCTTCGCTGGTTGACCTTCTTGCCCGCCGACCTTGGTGAGCGGCCTCGCTCTGCACCGACCTTGTACGCTGACAACAAGGCCATGATTCTCCTGTGTCGAGAGTCTCGACTGGAGAGCAGAGTGAAGCATATTGACGTGAGGTACTTCCTCCTGCGAGGGTTGCAGCGACGCGGCCAGGCACGCTTGGACTTTGTGGCCTCAGAGGCCAACACTGCCGACGTCTTCACCAAGGCCTTGGCGCCTGGTGACCACCACAGGTTCTGTGTGCAGTTGGGGCTTGTTGAGGTAGGCCCTCGGCTGCTGTAGACTTGTTGTTTGCTCTGCTTGTTGTGGTTTGCTATACATATCCTAGTGAACTCTTGAACTGGCCTTGTGGCCGCTTGCTTGTGCTCGGAATTTGTGTGGTGTCCTTGAGATCCACCCTGTGCTTGCTTTGCTCCTTGTCTTGACTGGTCTTGTGACCGTTTGTTCACCCTGCTTGCTTTGATGCCCCTCACTTAGCCTATGGGGGTGTGTCAAATGTTGAACATTGTTATAATAGGCTGTAGTGAGTTGCACTGTAGAGAGTACAACACATTCTAGGTTTGCTATTTGTATCACCCACTTTCCTAGTTCATTCATTCCGTTGCTAGCTACTCTTAATACCTGGTTGTGGTGCAGGCAAATCACCAGGAACCAAATGCTACAGCGGGAGGCAGGCGGAAGGAGCAGCAGATCATCCACTTGGAGGGCGCCACGAGGCGCACCCTGTTGAAGTCAATGCCCGTGACAGTGCCGCCCAGCGCTGCTGATATGCGCTGTTGGTGGTCGAGGGGGACACACGGGGGGGGGAGGAAGGGGCACGTGGGGAAGGGAGCATTGAAGAGAGTGCAAGTGGGAACATGGAGGGGCGACAACCGAATGCACTCCATCGACAGACTAGCAGTGTGGCGATTTAGTACACAGGAGGGGTGGAGGAAAGGGCAAGGTTGAGGTGCAAAGTGGGAGGGCGGTGGCAGCGCACCTGTGATAGCTCTAGCTCGGGGTCAGCGGCCTTGGAGAATGCATAGACATGGATGAGGGGCGGAGGGGTCCTGGTGCCCCACTTGCCCAGAGGAAAGGCCCCCTTGAGAACATCTGAAGTGGGATGGTGGAGTGAGAAGAGTGGAGCGGGATGGAGTGGGATGCGGAGGTGAGGCAAGCAACGGGTGTGAGAGAGATAGGTGGCGGGCGGAGATGAAGGTGCTAATGCCCATGAGCAGGCTGCCATCCCAGGAAGATGGAGTGTGTGAGACGACGAGGGCCATGAGGCAGCTGTGCCGCACACACAGTAACCAAGACTTGTGCGAGAAAACGCGTCACATGAGAACCGCATGCACAAGCATAAGTTGAAGGCAGAAGCACAAGTCGCACCGAGGAACTCGATGGCGTCTGCAGGCAGGTTCATGACGATCCGTGTCATGTGCACAGGGCGGGGCAGTGCGAGCAGGTGCCTGATGAAATCACGACCGTCCAAATTGAATATCTGATGGTAGAAAGGGCAACAAGGATTGACAGGGTGCAAGAGGTGGGATCACATACAGGAACGGAAGGGAGTGAAAGCCAGGTGGCATTTGGTGGGTTGCAAAATGTGGGGAGCAGGCACAGTGTGCGTGCATGGAGCACATGCACGAGGGAAGAACAAGGCCACAGACGGTTGAAAAGGACAGCCTGACAAGGAACAGACGTGAGGCGGGGATGGCGTGGGGCTGACCTCCACTTTGCCGTCCACACGGTTGGCAATGATGTTTTCCGCCAGAAAGGTGAGTGCCGAGGGGTTGAGGTCGTTGGCGTACACGCGCTTCACCCGCTTCGCTGCCGCCACTGCGATCGGCCCCACTCCCGCAAACACGTCGCCTGCACACGAGGGCCGTGCACCGGGAACGGGTGGCGACAGGGGTGAGAGCAGTGGTGTGTGGCTAATGCTGCTTGCTGCTGCTGTGAGCAAACAAGGTGTCTGGTGCGGAGTGAAGGGCTGGCAGGGAAGGATGAGCAGGGAAGTGAAGTGAGGGCAGAGGGGGCCGTTAGCTTGTACTCGCACCGCTCTCCTTGCCACGGCAGTGGGTATCGCCCTTTCTCGTGCCAGCATACTGCCTGTGAGCAGAGAATGTGGTAAGGGAATAGGGAGGGTCGGAGTGGTGATGGGTTGATGAAATTACTGGAAATATTTGTTTCCCAGCAGGCAAAGAGCACTATAGAAGCGTTGGTATGGGCAGGAGCGTTTGCCGCGACAGGAGCATTGGTATCGGCAAAAGATTTTGTAGTAGTGGCAGGTAAGGAGCAGTGGAAGGGTAAGGGGCTCACAGACAACATCGGCTGAGGAGAAGGTTGAGACGAGGCGAGCTCGCTCCGTGGCCAGACGAGAGTTCCAATAGCTGCTCATGGCACACGAGGGAGGGCGCATGGCAGGGGGCGCATGGCAGGGGGCGCATGGCAGGGGGCGGGAGGGGGTGGTGTATGAAGTGATGGCATAGGTGCAGGCAGGAACAAGTTGGACGTTGTCTGGCACAGACACAGCAGCACATCCGCTGGTGCACACTCATGCACTCAGCATGCTCCGCGGGAGCACGTGGCCATGTGATGCACGACATGCGAGCAGAGTGTGTGTGCATACTCACAACGTGAAAGCCGGTCAGCCAGGTCAGAGTCAAGGCAACGGTACGTCGGCACAGAGCACGACAAGAGTGAGTCACGAACAACCAAGAAGTGGCAGGCACACGAAAGGGAAGTGGCAGTGGCACACGAGCGAGTTACTAGCCAGTCCATTCTCCCTGGGTGTGGTGAAGTGGCGAATCCACGGCGAGCGGAAGGCAGCAAGAGAGCATGGCAGAAATGCACAGAGATGGGAGGAGCAAGAGAGCAGAGCACAGAAGCACAGCAGAACGGCAGCAGGGCAGCAGGGGCAGAGGGGGCAAGGCAGGCGAGCACGGACACGCGGGCGAAGTCGACTTTGAAGGAGAGGGCGCTCTCCCTGGCGGTGGTGATGAGGCGGAAGCTGCCCGCCAGCAGCTCGAGCTTCATGGTGCGGTACACCGCGTGGATGGCCGCCGTCTTGTTCACCACCGATAGGATGCGCGGCTTGTGCTTGTCCAGCAGCACCTTGTATGGGGGATGGTGGGTCGAGGAAAGGGGGTTGCAAGGGGTGTTGAGGAATTAGGGAGGCGGAGAGGGAGTGACGGGGAAGGGTGGAGTGTGTTGGGAAGGAGGGGGCACAGGGACATGGGGATATGATTGTGGTGGGGACACGAGAGGGGTGCGGATGCCTTAAAGTGGGGATGACCGATTGGGACGTTACGAAGAGAAGGGACACACAGTGTGTGCACTCTGCAAGAAGCAGCTTGCAAGGAGAGGGACACAGATGCCAGCCGAGAAAGCAAGGAAGACGGTGTGAGGGGAGCAAGTGGAATGGCACAAAGGGGGGAAGAGGTGCTAACACCCACCACACCTGGGCAACGAGATGCTACCCCACCTTCCCCCCCCCACCTCCCTTCCCTCTCCCCGCTCTCACCTGCGCAATGAGGTGCTTGTACGGCAGGTGCACATCGAGCAGGTTCAGGTGAGCGATGTGCCCCACGCTCTCAAACGACGTGGGCACGGGCACGTGTGCGGGCAGCACGTGTCTGAGAATGTCCTCTGCCGTCCAGTACTCATACCCCACCGTCACTGCACACGCCACCACCTCCGCCCCCTCCACCACGCCATCCCTGCCGCCTTCCCCGCTGCTCCCTCCGTCCTTGCGCTCGCGTGCGCCCTGCTGTTCACCCTCGCGTCCCTGGCTGGTATCACGATGAGATGGTTGATGCTCATCCGCACGAGGCATGGCGGGTGGAGTATGCTCCACGCTGTGCGCCCCAGCAGGGGTTGATGGCACACCAAGGATCGTCTGCTTGCGCACACACAGCACCAGGCACGGCACACAGACAGCACACACAACAAAGGAGGGCGGGATGGAACGGAAGAACAGGGGGACGGAAAGTGAGACACATGGAGAGAGGCGGAGGAACAAGGGGAGCAGGGTGCGTGGGGTAAAATGCACGAGGAGAGCAAGGGCATGTGGCAAGAATCGCTAGGCAAGCCAGACAGGGAAACGGGAATTAAGTGGCATGAGGTGATGGCATAGAGAGGGATGGGGAAAGGGTGGCACTCGATGTTGGATGGGATGCGAGGGTTACATACACACGAGATAGAGCAGCGAGTGAGAGAGGGACAGGGAGGCACACTCTTGTACGAGTTACGAGTGAGACGCTGCATGTGTTGAGTCGTGTGGTAAGATAGCGATGGACACCTCAAACTGGAGTGGGGAATGAGACATCGCACAGCAGCATGGTGCAGGGTGGGAGAGCAGCATGGCATGCTGGTGCTGTGTGCCGAGACAGGTGCTGACGTGACGTTACCTGAAGGACAGGTGGCAGCATGTGAGTGGGTGAGTGCAGAAGGTCCTCTCGGAGCAGCAGGATGCGACTGGCTTGCCTGCCATGGCTGCTGCTGACATGTTCTGAAAGGGAGAGTGGTGAGTGCGCGTGCCAGGGGAGGCCATGGGGCAAGGGCACGGACCCCAGCAACTCCACCCGTGCCATGCCCTCCTCCTCCCTTCCCTCGCCCCCCCTCCTGTTCCTCCCTCCGTTTTTCTTTTCCTCTACCCGTGCCCCGCTTCCAACTCCTCGGCCCTCAACCTGCTCCCCATCCCCCCTGTCCCCCCAATCCCCCCCACCCTCCCCATCCCCGCCATCGCCTGCCACGCGAGCCACGTTCTTGAGGCGAGGCCAGTCCAGTAGGCACCCCGCTGCCGCCAGCTGCTTCACCAGCCGCCCACACGAGGCGGGCGGCACTCTCAGGCCCGGCACCACAAACTGCCGAACGAATGCCGCCCTGTCGATCTGCACGGCTCGGTAAACCCGCTCCCTTGTGTGGCTGCTGCCGTTGGTGCCGTCAGAGCTCTCGGTCATGGCCTCACGGGCAGCATCGCTGTTGTTGCTGTCACTACTACCACGAGTACCATCACCACTGCCCCCACCCACATCACTCCTGCCCATGTCCGTGCGCTCACCTCTCACGTGCTCCCCAGCAGCACCCTCCATCAACCGAAGGAACTCCTCGTTCCTCCTCCTCCCCCCTCTCCGTTCCCTCTCCCCGCCTGCACCCTCTCCCTCACCCTCCACCTCCCCTCCTGCCAACCCCGCCCCATCACTCCCATCACTCCCCTCCCCTTCCACCCCACCCCACACTCTCCCCCTCTCCCCTCCATCCACCCCTCCTCCCACCATGCCCACCAGGCCCCTCTCTCCCCCACCATGCCCCCCGCGCCCCTCGTCCCACACCACGTTGAACTCCGCCAGCAGGCGCGCCTTGTCCTCCTGCAGCCACCGCTCTTCCATCAGCTCCCACTCCTTCACGGCCGCCTTGGCGCGCCACCCATACCCCTGCTTCAGCTTCTTGCGCGCCCACGTGCCCAGCTTCTCCCCGCCCCACGTCCCCTTCTCCCACGCCTCCTGCATCTTCTCTATCGCGCCCTCCCCCACCCCGCGCTGCCACGCGTCCTTGCCCTTGCGTCCCCACCAGTGGTGGAACTCCCCCTCGCCTCCCCCGCTCCTCCCCCGCGTCCCCCCTTCCGGCCGATCAGCCTGCGTCCGTGCGCCCCTCTGCCGCCGCCCGTCGCGCGCAGCCCCGCGCCGCTGCTCCCCGCTGTCCTCTCGTTCCCCGGAACCCTCTCCGCTCCGGCCTCCCTCGGCCTCTCGCGCCGCTGCTTCCGCGCGCTCCCGCGCCCAGCCTCGCTCCATCCGCGGGGGACACACTCCTCGGGAGAGCGACGGCCCTCGCGCGAGCTCCGCCTTTTCCGCCGAAGCACCTCTCCCGTCGCGCGATAAGCCCCCGTTCTCCCCGTCGCCGCGGTCAGGTTCCGCCCTTCCCCCCCCTTGCCTCCCTCCGCTGCCTCCCGGCGCCCGTCCGCCAATGCGTCCGTACCCCGAGTTACCGCGCTTGCCCCGGCTGCTGCCGCCGCCGAGGCCACTGCTGCCGCTGCTGCCACCGCTTCTGCTGCTGCTCCTACTGCCGCTCTTGTCGCCTCTGCTGCCACTGCTGGTCGCCCGCGCAACGAGTTTTTGACCCGCGCCGACCGCAAAGGCGGCCCCCGCACGGCTGCCTTTCCGCCCTTGCCCCGCGCGCGAAATAGCCCCGCACAACCCGAAGCCCCGAACCTCTAGGGCGGGCGCTGAAGCGCCAGGCGGCGGAAACAGAGCGAGGGGGGGTGAGGCGGCGGAGGAAGGAGGGGCGCGCAGCACGGCGGAATGCAGCGCGCGGAGCCTGGAGGCCGTGCGCAGTGCCATGGCGCACGGCGGGTGGACTACGGTCAACCCAGCCACTGCTAGCTCTGCTACTCCCGTTGCGCTCGGTGGGCGAATGGAGCCAGCGCTGGGTTTGATATATGCAGGGGTGAGTGGGCTTATTTTTCATTTTTTCGTTACCCATGTAGGATTTGTAGCTTCCCTGTGTGACCTGTGCTTGTAACTTTTAGCCATCACGGTAATCTTAGTTTTTGAAATAAAATAAAAAGGTCAAAGTGTAAAGTTTTTGTTTTCCCTGATACGGTTCCGGGTTGTGGGTTTGTGTTTAAGAGGTGTTTGTAAATGCTCATATAAATAGTGTTATGATATGAAATTCAGTAAGAAGGCATTCCTGTATGCTGCAGGAGCCGACTCTACCGAGTACGAAGTCGAGGAGTCAGAAGAGTCGAAGCGACGCCAGCAACCGTCAGACCAAGACCGATGCAGGCAGAAACATTTGAACTGAAAAGAGCGGGAACAGGTTTGAAACGGGTTCCCGCTGTCAAATGTTGTTATTTGTTGTAGGCAACAGTGAGATGCTCTTTAGTGAATACAACAGTTTTAGGGTTTCCTATTTGTACCCCTTGCTTTGCTAATCACAACCATTCCGTTGCACTCCGTTCTTGAGATGGTATCAAGAGTAGGATAGATCGTCGCCTAGCCTAGCCCCGATCGCGCCCTTGCGCCCTCCGCGCCCTAGCGCCCTCCGTGCCGTCCGCACCCTCTGCGCCCTCAGCGCCTCCGCACCCTCCGCGCGTAGCCCTCACGTGCGCGCCCTCCTTAGCCCGTCGCGCGCCCCTCGGCCTGCCCGTCGCACGCGCCTAGGCCAGCCCATAGCACGCGCCCTAGGCCAGCCCGTCGCGTGCGCCTAGGCTAGCCCGTAGCGCGCGCCCTAGGCCAGCCCGTCACGCGCGCCTAGGTCAGCCCGTCGCGCGCGCCATATGTCAAAGTACAATCTCACTTGTAGGCTATAGTGGGGCACTCCTTATGGGGTACAGCACTTCTAGGATTAGAACTTGTACCCCAACTCTTGCTAATCCAATCGTTCCTGCACAGTTGATTTTGACATGATATCAGAGCAGGAAACCTGTTAGGTTTTTAGGGCCCACCGATCGTTCCGCTAGTTCTATCAGAAATAGGAAAGAAGAATGAGAACAGAGAAGAGGGTTTGCACTAGCAGGCAGTTGAGTACATATAGGAAACCCTAATTTGGCCTATACTCACTATAGAGTACCCCACTGCATGCTAGACAAATATCACATTCTGACACACCCCCATAGTCAAAGTGGGGTATAATCAGCACAGCAAGCAGTCATAGAGCAGGTTCACAAGTACAAGCAAAGCTAGAGGCATTCACAAAGGGCAAGTGAGGAGGAGGAGGCGGGACTGTGAGAGGAGAGGAGATAGGAGGCGACGGCTGAAGCTGCAGACACACGGGCAACAGGAGCCGCACTGGCACAGCGGCTACCGGAGCAGCGCCCCGGACTACATGAGTAACTGGCTCCGCGGCTAAGACGAGCGGCAGGAGCAACGGACCCACGGGCGACTGGCGCAGCAGGCTCGCTGGGCTACCGGAGCAGAGCCCCGGACTACTGGCGCTGCTGACGACACGACGGCTGCCTCCGCTCAACCTCCCCCAACTGTCCCACCCCCCTTTCATACACCCCCTGCTGCACCCCTAGCTCCAATCCCGTGTCACCCCCCTAGCGCCACTCCCTCGGCTCCCACACATCCACCCCCCTCAGCGGCAGCTGCAGCAGTGGGAGACGGAGGAGGAGGAGGAGCAGGGGACGACTCACACACTCGCCACCCCCAGACTTGCCACCCCCATACCCTCCCCCACGGCTGCACGCGCAGCAGAGAGACGACGGGGAAGGAGGGGGGGGGGGGGGGGGGGGGCGGGGAAGAAGCCGCCCTGCAGCTGCACGAGGGCAAGGGGCGGCGCGCGGGTCCACAGGGCAGCGCGCGCGGGTCCACGGGACAGCGCGCGCGGGTCCCCTGGGGCGACGCGCGGGTCGACGGGGCAGCACGCGCGGGTCCCCTGGGGCGACGCGCGGGTCGACGGGGGCAGCGCGCGGGTCCCACGGGGCGGCGCGCTGGGCGACGGGGCAGCGCGCGGGTCCACGGGGCAGCGCGCGCGGGTCCAGCGGGGCAGCGCGCGGGTCCCGCAGGGCGTCGCGCGGGTCCAGCGGGGGGCGCGCGCGGGTCCCCCAGGGCGCCGCGACGGGTAGGGCACCGCCGCACGCCTCGGGGCGCGCGACGGGCAGGGCACCGTCGCGGCGCCACGGGGCGCGCGACGGGCAGGGCACCATTGCGGTGCCACGGGGCGCGCGACGGGCAGAAAAAAATGTCACGCGCCACCGGGCGCGTGACAGAGTGAAGATCGCCACGCGCCCGAGGCGCGCGACCGGAAAAGCAGCAGCGGAAGCATGTGACGGGGCCATCCACAGGGTCGACCAGGGAGGGTCGACCTGCTCTGATACCATATCAGAAATAGGAAAGAAGAATGAGAACAGAGAAGAGGGTTTGCACTAGCAGGCAGTTGAGTACATATAGGAAACCCTAATTTGGGCTATACTCGCTATAGAGTACCCCACTGCCCGAAGCGCCCTTGCGCTGTCCGGCCCTCTCGCACAGTGTCACGTTGCCCTGCAGCTACTCGCACTGCCTGCCCTAGCGTGCTGCCCTACTGTCACGCGCACCCCTGCTGCCCGCGAGCAGCCCCTGCCCCGAGCGCCTCTGCTGCCTGCGAGCAGCCCTTGCCCCGAGCGCCACTGCTGCCTGCGAGCAGCCCCTGCCCCGAGCGCCACTGCTGCCTACGAGCAGCCCCTGCCCCGAGCGCCACTGCTGCCTGCGAGCAGCCCCTTCCCCCGGCGCCACTGCTGCCTGCGAGCAGCCCCTACCCCGAGCGCCCCTGCTGCCCGCGAGCAGCCCCTGCCCTGCGCGCCCCTTCTGCCCGCGAGCAGCTCCTGCGCCAGCGCGCCCCGCAGCCTAGCGCGCCAGCGCGCCCCGCAGCCCAGCGCGCCAGCGCGCCCCGCAGCCTAGCGCGCCAGCGCGCCCGGCAGCCCAGCGCGCCAGCGAGCCCCGCAGCCTAGCGCGCCAGCGCGCCCGGCAGCCCAGCGCGCCAGCGCGCCCCGCTGCTTAAGCGCGCCAGCGCGCCCCGCAGCTCAGCGCACCAGCGCGCCCCACTGGGAAGCGCGCCAGCGCGCCCCACTGCGAAGCGCGCCAGCGCGCCCCGCAGCCCTAAGCGTACCAGCGCGCCCCGCAGCCCACCGCGTTAGTGCGCCCCGCAGCCCAGCGCGCCAGCGCGCCCCGCTACTAAGCGCGCCAGCGCGCCCCGCAACCCTAAACGCGCCAGTGCGCCCTGCTGCCCAGCGCGCCGCTGCTGCATGAGCTGCTGCTGCTGCTAAGCGCTGCTGCTACTGCTAACCGCGCTGCTACTGCTACTGTACTCTGCTGCTACTGCTGCTGCTGCACACGCTGCTACTGCTGCGCTGTGCCCTGCCGAGCAGCGCTGCCCAGCCCGAGCCGCGCTGCCCTGCCCCTACTGAGCCGCACTGTCCTACTACTGCTCCTACTCCTACTGCTACGGCTGCTACTACTACTGCTGCTGCTGCTGCTCGTGCTGCCACTGCTGGCACTACTGCTGTTACTGCACTAGCTTGTGCCCTGCTGTTCACGTAACCTACTGGCCTCCACAGTCACTACAGCAGTCGCTACTACTGTTAGAAAGAACGAAACAGGAATGGTTGAACTAGCAGAAAGTTGGGTACAAGTAGGAAACCCTAAGTTTGTTGTACCCCCTATGGCTAAACCCACTATAGCCTAGACAATATAAACATACAATGTTTGACAACTACTGCCCTTGCGCCGCTGCTACTGACTGCCACTGCCTGTCATGGCCACTATCACGGTAGTCGCAGCGGCTAGGGGTGGACAGCAGCAGCCACTGCCTCACCCAAACACGCTATCCCCGCAGCAACTTCGCGAGTGGGTTCTTCAGCGAGCCCGTCCAGGTGGTGGAGGCTTTGGTTTTCTGCGTACTGCACAGAGGCGGCAGCGGAGTCAGCAGGAGACCTTCTCCCCGCAGCTGCTTAGTGAGTTTTTTTCTCAGCGATGTGTCACTGGTTATGTAGAGGCTGCTGCTCTAGGTGCTAGTGAGTCTGTTGCCGCACTCGGTGCTAATGAGTCTGCTGCCGCTCCAGGTGCTAGTGAGACTGCTGCCGCACTCGGTGCTAGTGAGTCTGCTGCTGCTCCAGGTGCTAGTGAGTCTGCTGCAGCTTTAGGTGCTCGTGCGTCTACCGCCACAGGTCCTGCCTCAGCCGAGGCCCTGCACACTTTCACACTTGACTTAGGCGCGTCACGTTGCTTCTTTCGTGACTGCACCACACTCACACCACTTGCTGCACCGGTACCAGTCTCACTGGCTGACCCCACTGGGGGCCCAGTAGTTGCAC